AAACAAACAAACAAAAAAAAACAGTGGAAAATGTCTGCAGACCACACCACACAACCTTGAAAGGGCTTACATGGGTAGATATATATGTATATAATATATATATATATAGTACCAGAAATTGAACTCACAGCCTTGCACTTGCCAGGCTGGCGCTGTCCCGCTGAGCTATATGCCCGGCCCACTACCCTTTTATAACATGTAGAATTATATTTTTTTCTGGGGGGTGAACCCAAATTTGAGATAGGGTCCTCATATAGGGTTAGTCACTCTTGACCTTCATTTAAATATTTTTTGGAAGGCTTTTGATTTTTGGATGTGTTTACCCAAAGTGCTGTGGCCGTATCCCAGTTTGACTAGGTGATATACTTGCCTCAGGCTTATTACTAAGTAAGGTTACTGGCTTGCTTTTGGCATTTGAGGACCTGAAGTGCAGATGTTTGAGTTAATTACACTTTTCAGTTCAACAGAGGTTTTTTTATCATAGGTCAGTCAGTACATGCCTTCCTTTTGCTGTGTTTCTCATTTTTCTCAATTTCCACCTCTATGGTACTTGATGTGTATCCTAAACTAGGTAACGTTTCAAGTGTGTTTTCAGTTTACACAAACAGCACAGTACGACAGTCTTGTTCTGGATGCAGAACTTCGTATTTTTAGCCTCTGCCTGTATTGCCATGTGTATATTAGTGCTTCGCCTCTAATTGCTGCCAAGGCCCTGTGGGTATTACTGCTATAGTTTACTTAATGATTCCCCCAAGGATGGAACCTGTTCTTATTTTGATGTGCTAAAGTCACTACTTTTTTGGCTTATAATTTGTGCTTTCAGAATCTTTTCTTTTGCTACACCAGATCACATAGATGATTTTGTTTTATTTTATTAATTGGTTTTTAGGGGGACAGGTTTTGCTATGTCTCCCAGGCTGGCCTCAGACTTGCAATGATCCTCCTGCCTCAGCTCTGAGTGCTGAGATTTCAGGCGTGCGCCACACACCTAGCTACATAGATTAGTTTACTCTATCATTTTACCTTTTGCATTCAGGTCTTTAATTCATTTATAGTACACTTTTGAATGTGGTGTAAAGTAGGTTCTGGGTTTTCTTCATGTAGCGGGCAGTTTGCGCAGTACCACCTCCTAGATAGTCTGTTGTCTTTATTGATTTGTGGTACCTCATCTGATTTCCAGTTCCCTTGTGGACATAGATTTGTCTTGAGTGATCTAATATGTTCTATTACTCTGTTTGCTTCTTCTTTTCTTGTATGCCAGAACCTTATTGTTCTTAGTAGTTTTATAGAATGTCTTAATAGCTCCATCCTTGCTCTTTTTTTAATTCATTTAACCATTTGTGAAATGTATCCATTACAAACTGCTTATTAATAAAAGTAAAAATTTTAAAGAGTGTATCCAG